GACGCTCAACCAGACTTCAACTTCGAGTTTCTCAGTCGAGGACTAAAGCAACTCTCCCGCACTACACTTCAGCCGAGCACTTCATTCCTCGACTTTAGAAATGGGGGAGTGGTGTTCATGGTTGAGCTAGCCTTAAATGCCACATGGCCGCCCAGTCACTGCCTAGTCACCTCGGCCACATCAGCATCGCCCTGCCAGCTCTGCGACATACACCGTCTCCACGGCCACGACCGCTCTACGCTACTTCCATAGCCCCCACCTTATCCTCTCAGCCACGTCAGTTCCACATAATACGGATAAGCACGACCAAGAATAGGAGAAGGGATGGGGACAACTCCACTAGGGATCAGGACTCTATCCCTAAGAGCTCGGCAGTTAACCTCATCCCGATACCCCCGGAGGCTTAATCTGATCAGGATATGGACCTTCAGCTATAAAGAGGTATCTCCCGTTCAAGGTAAGGGATTCCAACTTCTGGCACCCATACTGTTACTTTGCTCGAACCAACACCCTCATTGCTTGGCCCGGCCATCCACCACCTTCTACTGACTTGAGCATTGGAGTATCTACCTAGGGATAACTCCTCGGGCCTTTGACATCCTTCTCTTGATCACAGGTCTTGAAGTGCGGCTCCGTCCTTCCACCTCGGCTCCGCCCTGTTGGCAAGGACTATCTGACTACAACCTCGGTTCGTACACCACCTCGGATCGAACAACATCACAAACCAATTTCTAGGTGCCTAGGTAACATAAGGAGACTTGTGAAGTTTGCATACTTTGTTCCCCCTCTTTGGCAAAACCAAGTGGAATGTATATCTACATTTCCCCATCAAAATAACCATGGAAGAACACATTATTTATGTTCATTTGATAAAGAAACCAGCCAAAGTCTACAACAATATCAAGTAAAGCACACACCATAGTTAGTTTGCCGATTAGAACAAAAAGTTTCATTGCAGTCTTGTCCCTCTATATAGTTGAGTGAAACCTTTTACAACACGGCACGCTTTGTACTGTTCCACATAGCCACCAGATTTGTATTTAAGTTTATACACCCACTTACAACTTATCAGTCATTTTCTAGGTGGGACATCAATTATGGTCTAAGTACCATCTATTCAAGAGCTCAGATCTGAATAGCCATGGCGTCTCCCCACTTTGGATCCTTCATAGTGGTTGATAATGATTTTTGTTATAGACAGTTGTGAATGGACCTTAAAAAGGCCATAAGGGATGGTTGTACTCGTTGATATAATAAGAAGTGATGGAGGGCGTATAGGGAGGAAGGGCATGATGATGGAGGATTAAAGTGAAGGTTGTATGTCAGAAGGATGGCCAAGACAAAAATTCCATATTTACGAAGATTGTGAGGAATGAGGCATATGGTAGATCGACCAACAAGTAGTATGACCTGCCATGTTGATTACCCCAACCAATCTTCATCATTGTTGAAAGGTTTTATAAAACTCATTGATTAGGAAATAAAGTGTATTAATTTATTAATAAAAAGGACATTAAACTTGAAGTTGGGTATATGAAGAACATATTGTAAATAAAGGTATGAGAAAAGCCTAATATCACCAAATTAGGAATGGCAACGGGGCAGGGTGGGGAAAATGAGGCTCTCTCCATCCACATCCCCTTCCCCGCTAATGGGAATAAGGTTATCCCCATCCCCGCCCCCAGGGAGATCCCCATTTCCCATGATTTTTCATAATGTCAATCATTAGATTTTTGTTTTTTATTTTATTTAAAAAAATTAAAATAAAATAATTAAAATTTATAGTTCTATTAAAAAAGATTTAAACATATTCAACCATATTTTTTAAAATATTAATATATAAACATGTGTACATGTATACATATATAAATTTATGCATACATATATAGATATATATTAATGGGGATCCCACGGGGCAAGGATCAAGGTCCCCACGAAGTAGGGAGTGCTCTCCCCATCTCCACCAATGGGGTTGAAAATTTCCCCACTCCCACCCTGTTTAGGTGGGATCCCCATAAGGATTGGGGAAATGGGGAAAATTTCCATCCCTACATCAAATTAGGTGAACGACGGGCAAGGAGTCATCATGTAACTATGGATTTAAAGGATTAGTGAAGATATGTAATAACTATTTAATAGTGACTTTATTATTGAACAATCTAGAATAATCATCCTTACATAACTTAGAGACTGAAATTAAATTTCTCCTATACAAGGGTACCTAAAGACAATCTTTAAGTGTTAAAATTCTTACCCTAAATCCTAAGGCTATTGTTCATATAGTAACAGTTACAAGAGTTGCAAATGTTCCCATGTAAAGAATGACCACATCATCACATAATTTTCTACTTTCTTTGAACTCCTACAAAGTATTACATACATGAGTAGAGGGTCCAAGGTTAATACATTAGGATGCAAAAGTTACCAACATACTAGTATAAATGACAAGAGTTTCGAATATACATTTTTCTTCTTATTTAAGGAGTCCATATACCGAGAATAATTGTTTTTCTAATACCCACTCTTTTTGTAGAAGTGGCACTTATGTGTTTTGTTTTAAAATGCTTAAGCCTTGAAGCGTGAGGTGTATGCCTTGAGGCAACATACACAGGTTTTTCCTTAAGGCTTAAGCCTCAAAACTTTGGTTTGAGGCTTAATCCTTTGTTAGAATGAGGTGTAAGCCTCAAGCTTCAACGTGTGAGGTTTAAAAAGGCGTAAGCTCAAATATCAACATTATTTAGTGATTTATTAAAAAAATATACATATTTTTTTGCATATTTTATAGTTCAAAATATATAGATGAAGCACTTCAATAATTATCAGCCAAAATGATAGAAAATAAAATAAAAATAAATAAATCAGATTTTTTTTAAACAAAAAATAATTAAAAATTAAAAAATCACTATTCTACCAAAAAAGAGTTTGGAAATAAAAATAAGAAAATTAAAAATAAAATGGAACGACTACACTTGAACCGCAATCCAATTTCTCTTCTCTTCTCTTCCGTCCCGCAGTCCCGCAATGCTCCGGTACCCCACCTTTCGCTATTCCATCATGCAGAATCAAAGAGAAACAAGAATTAAAATGAGATAATGGATCAAGTAATCAAACGAAAAGTAAAAAATAATGAAATAGATCCGAAAAAAGTAAATAAAAATTGTTCTCCGTGCTTCATCGGTAGCGGTGCCAAAAACTTGGTGTGATCCAAAGCGTGCCATTAACCACTTCGGAACATCAGTTTAAACATTTATAATATTATCTGACTCTCAAACAAATACTAACGCAATAAATGGGTGAGAATGGGTCGTATCCATAGGGAAGCGGGGGAAAAATTAATATACACTCAAATCCGGACAATAGAACACAAGAGGGAAGTGCAAAAAATATAAAAATTAATTAATTAAACTAAGAAAAATATAGAATTCGATCAGTATTGAAAGTTAAAAGTGTACAACATAAATAAATAAACAAAAAGTAACGAAATAAAAATCTGTAATCCGGTCAGAGGTAGCAGTCTCCGGATCTCTTCTTTGAGACTCGAACTTCTTGAGCTAGGCCTTCCATCTTACCTGGCCGAATTGCATATCTATAGAAAACAAAACGAAAATCAAACGGAATGGAAATAAATTGTAGAAAGTAAATAACAAAACTGCAATCGAAAGAACAAAAATTAAAACTAAAATAAAGTAAAAGTGCTTGGGATCCGATTCCAGAGGTGGCAGTAGTGGTGTTGGCGAACTACAAGTAGGAACCCCTCCTCTTGCCTGGGCGTTCTCCTCTTCCTCTAACCTTGAACTTCTGAAGATCAGGCTTCCGTCTTACCTGGGGGCAAAATCCAACCCTTTCTTATGAGCCCTTGGGTCCTTTTTATAGAGAAGAGTGGATACAACTAGGATTAGAGAGAAAGATGGGGTGGTAGTTGGGTTTGAGCAAAGATATGGGCACCCTAGGGTTTTTAATGGAGGATGAGGATGGTTTTAGGGTGATCCTAAGGTTGAGATGAAAAGGAGAAAGCACCCAATATTATGTATGGCTGATATTTAATGGCTAAAGACTGAATGGTGAAGATTAGAAGTGATGTGGCTCCTAGGGTTAGAATGCTAAAAAGGGAGTGCCCTAGAATGGATGGTGGAGAATAGAAGGGATGGAAGGTGAGGATTTAACAGTTAGGGGCGGCTAGGGTTTGTTAAGAGTGAAAAGAATGGGTTAAAAGGTGCCCTAAAGTTTGCTAAGGCATGGGGAGCATGGTAATATAGTTGGAGGGGCGCCAAATTGGGTTTAGCAGCTAGGAGGCGACCTTCTACTTTCAGTTTTTCACAAAAACACCCCCTCTCTCAGCTGGACTTCACACCAGATTCCCAAAATCTGCATTTCAGACATAAAAACTTCTCAGTTTTCCCCAGAATTTGCACAAAGTCCCTTAGAGGCCATAATATTGCATTTAATTGGGAAAATGACACATATTGACTATTCTAAGGTCGAAAATACCCCTGAATTGATGCCCTTAAGGCATCAAAATGCAGAGTTATCACTTGGCCTTGGCCTAACTACCACGATGGGATGAAGAATCAACCAAGTGAGCTAAGGCAATTGCCTCCCTTTCCCTCTTGCTAAGGAAAGGGTCCTCGAGCCCTCGGTGGTGAAAATTGGCCTTAAACCTAACTTCCTTATCTTGAATCCCAAAGCGAGCAGCTAAGTAAGAAACAACGAGTTTTTTCTACTACTTGCGACTTATCGAGGGGGGGAGGGGCATCAGCCCCTAGCACAACAAAAAAGAAAAAGTAAGAAAGAAAAAAGTAGGAAAAGGCACAAGATAGACAAAAAACTCTATGTTTCCATTGATTGGCACAAGAAAAATGTGAATAAAATTATTATCCTCTTTATCATGTATAAAATTGTAATCTATACATTTTGATTATTGTATACTGTAATTACATAAGCAAACCCTAAAAATGTGGTTGCCCATGCTAATTTTGAGTCGTCAAAACAGGTAAAAATCTTTAGCTGGTGAGGACGTTGAGTAGAGAAACTCTGGTCTGTATCAGACGCCTAAAAAGGAAGTCCAATCCTTCTTCGAGGCTTTCAAGGCTAACCTCCAGATCCTTCAACCTTTTCTCTGTCAAATGTGAACTTTCAAGCTCGGCATCTTTGCTTGGATTGCAGCGAGACAAGGCGAAGAGTACAACATCAACAGATTCCACCTCATTCATGCTCTCCTCATGTCTGTCACAAACTACTACTCCTCTATGCATCAGCTTTGACACCAAATCCCATCGACCGACCTTTGGCTTTGACATTGGTGTTGACAACAATGACAAGATAGCCCGGAAGACAGAAATTGCAACACTGCAGACTTCTCTTAAGACCCTAACCACCATTGCTGAGTCATGATCATGATCTAAGAGAGGACAGGCTACACACTTCTCTTACAGACGTTTCAGCATTTTAAGGCAGCAGCTAACATCCTTCTTCACCCTTTTCTTGAAGGAAATGTATGTTGCGATCTTGTTCCCCAGCATCTCCTCAAATTTTCTTCTGCGAAGTGCTGAGTGAATATCAAGGACATTTTCCTTCATTTGAAGCAAAATATCCTTTGTAGTGCTGCCTATATCCAGCAATGTGACTGATCCCTCTATCAACTCATCCACCCATCCATCCAGTTGATGGTGGACCAAGGTCTGCGGTGTTTGGGGCATCTGAAGAATAGACTCCACACATTTGTACAACTCAACAAGGCCCAATAGTGCAACACTGATCGACTCTCCCTTCAATGGAGATCCCGATTGTGCTGTTGACAAAGACTCTAAGGCTCTAAGCCTGTTCAGCTCTTCTTCAATGTCGGTTGCAGTAGGATGGGATCGGGAGGGCATGCTAATGGAGCGAACATGATAACGACTTTCGGGTATTTCAGTTGCATCAGCCATCTTTTACTTCTTTCTCTGCAACAGATCGACTGGGTAGATGTTCTTCAGAGAGAAGATCTTTAGATTGGAGAAAGGACTGATGTTTCTCTCTAGGCCCTTGGAACTATTTATAACGCAACACATACAAGGATCATGAGAGAAGAGACAAGGAGCATCTTGCTGACTTGGAATCACCATGTCCATATAATGGGCATGTGATATCAATATAATTGTTCCTATACTCGGTGATGTTGTCACATTTCTGGCTTACTATTCCCAAATTTCAACCATATTTTAGTTCATTCATTCATGTGGCTACGTGATTGATGGACACTTCTATGTGATCAGTAAGCTTATTCATTAACTGGTAGACCATCCCCATGTCTCCCAACACACCACCGTTCCCAGCTACTTTATTATTCTTGCTGTTGGAAATCGACCTAATGCCACTAATTTTCCAATCTAATAAAATGTGTCTTTCTATATTTGTCTCAACCCAAAGGACCAGCAGACCATTAACACCAATAAGCAAATTAAGCAACTTTGGCCACATGGGAAACAAGATCAAAAATTTTAATTTGAAATAAATGGGATCAAGATCATGGGTTAGATTGATTTTGTAATCAAGTCCGGAATACCTTTATTGGCAGTCCGGAATTGTCATTTTGTAAGTTAGTCAAAATTATAACGGTTGAAGTCGACATTTTGTGTAGTTTATGGATGAAGGTTAAATGAAGTAATTTCTTTATGATTTGATAGCGGTGAGCATAATTCGGTTAAAATCGAAAAACCGAAATAAAATTTTGGTTTTGGTTTAATTAGTTCGGTCTAATTGGTTTTTCGGTTAGTTTCGGTTTTATTATTTGGTTATTTTGTATTTTGGTTTTTGGTTTTGGTTATCATAGTTAATAAATTGGTTAAGCGAAAAAACTGATTTAATTGTATAGCTATATATTTTTAATATTATTTATATTATAATTTATATTTTTATATTCAATATTTAAGATATTATGCAATATACATCATAACTTCATTTAATGCCAAGTTTCCAATAAAAAAAGTAAAACTTAAAAAAGTGATAGACCAGTAAAGAAAAGCAAAACTCAAAAGAGTGAACGACAAGTAAACTATTGGGCATTGGCTGGCACCGAAGTCTAAGCATCTTCCTTCCTCAATCGTCTCTCTCTCTTACTATATCTCTCTGACTCTCTCAGTCTCTCTAGTTTCTCTCTAAAGACTCTAATCTCTCTGTATTTAGAAAGAATAGGTTGGCCGCTAGCCTACTGTGATGCTGCTGCTTGCTAGGTGAGGGGCTGACCAGCTGAGGGCGTCTTCTTCCCTGCCCTGTTGAGTAACTACTCACCGCCGAGTGTGATGGCTGCCGGCTGCTTCTGCATCTGCTTTGCCTCTACCAGTTGCCCCTGTCGGCTGCCAGCTACCGCTGAGGGCATCTTCTTCTTCTTCTTCTTCTCTATTTTCGATAGAACACAAAAGGCTTGACTTAATTTTAGTTTTAACCGAAATATCTGAAATAACTGAAAAAAATTTCAATTCGATTTAATTGGTTTTTACATATTTCGGTTTTGGTTCGGTTTGCCATCTTGTTAAATTGGTTTTGAAAATTTCGGTTTTTCTGGTTCAGTTTTGAACTGCAAAAACCGAATGCTCACCCCTATGATTAGATGCTCATTTCCAATCGACCTGATCATTCAACCTAGAAAGACTAAAAGGTAGGCCATTCACATGACTCATCATGAATTTCCATCCCTCAACCTAGTTTGCATCCTTTTCTAATAATAGAGCTCCTTGAAAATAAGAAAAATTTTTAAAATGCAAACATTGTAGAATGTGAATTTTGTGATGCAAACACTAAAACATGTATTTAGGAATGGAAATTTTCCCATCCCATTAGGTCGGGGATGGTGGTTGATAGTGATACCCAACCAGGGACAGGCTAGGATATGGATAGGAGTGAATTCCCTAGAATCCCAACAGGAGCAGGAGGCAACTCTAGACTCGATATATAAGTGGTGATGATTCAGAATGGTGTGCTTTGATAGTTAAGATTGTCTTCCGGAATGCCAAAGAGGGAAGAAGCTAATAGATCTATAAGATGGTGTTGTAGTGAAGCCTCGGAATCGAGGGAGAAGCAGCACTCAAGGTAGAGGTTGTGTAGTGTTGCATTCTTTTTCAAACCCGAGTATGGGTGGTATCCCTGCTCAAACATTTAGTGGCTCGAGTTCTAGTTTGTATTTGGCTTGTGTGGTCTATGTATTGTTTGGTGGGTATTTTGTTGTGGTTTGGACTATTTTGTTGGTATTTTGTTGTGGCTTGTATGGATGACTGGTGAGTTCATTCTTGATTGAGTTAGTCTATCCTATATCACTCCAGATCTCCTACCCACAAAATCTTTTCACATCCCTACCCAAAAGACATCATCTCCATATGTTGGCAACCTCATGAATAACAAGGAAAATATTTTTTAACGCATGCAGTAGTGTCCTATGGGTAGGCATGTGGAATGAATTTGTGGGTGGGAGATCCAAAATCATTGTAAACACACAGTGAGCACACCCCTATTCAGGATTACGGGTGTTCTCGGTCTCACTCAGTGCGGCTTAGAGAAGATTAATTTCAGACCAAACTAATAAATTATAGTTTGAAAAATTCCCAAATCAAAGCAAACCACTTGACATGTAAATCAAACAAGACCAAACCGTTTCATTATGTATTAATGTGGTTTCTGATAAGGTTTAGGGAACTTTGGAACATCCTTTGGTTATATTGGGCTTAACCCAATTAGATATCCCAAATAACAGTCCTAAAAATTAAAACATCCAAAAAGTAGAAAAGGCCTTACCTATCAGAAACACATGATATTTCCGTTATCATAGTCAAACACTGATATTTATTGCAAAGACTTCCCAATTCAATTATATGGGCAACAATCTTCAAACCATTTACAAAGAATGCCAATTCTAAGATGAATCTAAGGGGTGGTTCGACAAATTGATTTTGTTTTTCAAAACAAAAACAAAAGCAATGAGAATTGGAAAGCGGAAGTTTCCAAAATAGTGCGTATATACCCATTGTCAATGGACTAATAAGTTCTAATAAGCAAATTGTTCAAATGAAAAAAAAAATAAAAAAACAAAATTTAGATCTCAAAGAATAACAAGAAGAATGTAAACAAATTTGTGATCCACTTCATCATGTATAATATTTTGATCTCTATACATTTCAATTCTTGTATAATGTTTATATAAGCAAACCCTTAAAAATGTAGTTGTCCATGTTGAGTTTGAGTGGTAAAAACTATTGAAGAATCTCTAGTGGATAGGGATGTTAAGCAAAGAAACTCTTGTCTCTGTCAGCCGCATAAAAAGGAAGTCCAATCCTTTTTCAAGGCTTTCAATAGGGCTAACCTTCAGATCCTTCAACCTGTTTTGTGCCATTTGTGAACTCTGAACCTCAACATCTTTGCTTGAATTGCAGCGAGACAGGGCCAAGAGTGCAACATCAAAAGATTCCACCTCATTCAGGATCTCCTCTTGGCTGTCACAACCTACTACTCCTTTATGCATCAGCTTTGACACCAAATGCCATTTACCGACCTTTGGCTTTGACACTGGTGTGGACAAGAATGACAAGAGAGCCCGGAAGATAGAAATTGCAACATTGTTTACTTCCCTAAAGACTTTAACCACCACTGCTGAGTTATTATCAAGATCTAAGAGAGGACAGGCTACACACTTCTCTTCCAATTGTTTCAACGTTTTAAGGCTTCTAGCATCCTTCTTCACATTTTCTTCTATGAAGTGCAGATTGAAGATCTTGCACATTTTCCTTCATTTGAGACAAGATGTCCCTTGCAGAGCTACCTATATCCAATAAGGTGGCCGATCCCTCTATCAACTCGTCCACCCATCCATCTAGTTGATGGTGGACAAGGGTCTGTTTTGTTGTTCTTTGGCATCTGTTTTTATATCATCATCTAATTTGGAGCCAAGAGCCTATAGTTCATATTTGAACCCTATTATCTTCATGGCATAGTCATGAACTGGTTGGTTCTCAGACATCCTAGTGGTCATCAACAATTTGAAGACCTTTTATCATGTAGAACGATTGTATTCCTCATACATGGCCTTCATGCTATCCAGAATTTCTTTACATATTGTTATTTTATCAAATTGTCTCTAAATAGAGTTGTCTAGTGATACGATGATGTAACAATGGGTAAGAGAGTTCTTATCTTTCCATTCCTAACATTCCTTCTTTCTAGCCTCAAAATATATTCCATTGGAATGTTCCGGTGCCTTTTCAATGACAATTTTATGTAGTTTCTTGGATGTGAGCACCAAGTTAAGGTTGCAAATCCTGTCTATGTAGCCTTTGAGTTTGTTATCATCTAGCAATTTAGTGAATGGTCTATGTGTCATTTCTGACAAATAGAACGAGTAATTAGTCTACAAACTAATTATTGTTTCATGTTATATACCATAGAATGGAATCTTATCTATGTTTCATTTGCATTTGTTCATCTCTGAGATTTCTCTCTATCTCTGGGATGAAGACATTATTCATGACTCTAGAAATGTGAGGAATTACACAGGTGCATGGGGCAAAATGTTTCAGCTGCATAACCCCATCACTTTTTGTGAAGGATCATGAATCTACCCATGCTTGTCTCGGGACCTTCCTCTTTGGCCTCCATTAGAAAAGGTTCATAGCCATTTTAGGTTAAACATTTCTAATCGGTAAGTGCTTACCCGTCATATCGAAATCCTTAAGGTACTATGGAAGAGTCTTCCATTGTATGATAGGCACATCCCACTAGTCTATGATGCTTCTATTATCCAATGAAGTAACTCAATTAATTGATCCATTTAGATTAACATGTTATCATGAAGAGGGAAGTTTAAGGATAAGGTCTCAAATAGTAAACCAAAGTCTAGATCAAAATCGAGAAATAAGAACTAGACCTACAACTATTGTCACAAGAAAGAGCACATTAAGTCAGA